TTGTCTCACAACCCTGAGATCAGGACCAGAGCCAAAATCAAAAGTCAGACACTTAACTGCTGAAGCCACTCCAGCACCCAAACAGCTTTATTTATTTATTTTTTAAAGAAGGCTCCATGCCAGCGATGGAACCCAGTGTGAGGCTTGAACTCACAACCCTGAGATCAAGACCTGATCTGAAATCAATAGTCAAATGCTTAACCAACTGAGTTACAGAGGTGCCCCTTATATTTTTTGATACTAGCCATTCTTTTTTTTTTTTTTTTTAATTTTTAAAATTTGTTTGTCAGAGAGAGAGAGAGAGAGAGAAAGCACAAGCAGGGGGAGTGGCAGGCAGAAGAGCCCGAGGGAGAAGCAGACTCCCTGCTGAGCAAGGAGCCTCATGTGGGACTCAGTCCCAGGACCCTAGGATCATGACCTGAGCTGAAAGCAGCCACTTAACTAACTGAGTCACCCAGGTGTCCCGATATTAGCCATACTGAGAAGTATCAAATGATATCTCATTGTGGTTTTGATTCACATTTCCCAGATGGTTAGCAATGTTGAGCGTCTTTTTGTGTGCTTGTTGGCTCTCTACACACGTCTGCTTACTTTTTTTAAAGTCAAGTTTATTGAGGTAGAATTTGGGGTATAATTTACATTATGTGGTATAATTCATCCTTTATAATATACAGTTCTATCAGTTTTTGTAAGCCACATACAGTCATATAACCAGCACCACAGTGAAGATACAGGACATTTCTATCCTCCCCCAAATTTCTCTCCTGTTCTTTGTGGTCAGTGTTGCCCTCCCACTGTCCTCAGACCCCGACAGTCCGATCTGTTTCCTGACCCTATACGTTTGCTTTTAGAGAATGTCACGTAAATGGAATCATGTCATAAATAGACTTCTGAGTCTGTCTTCCGTAAAGGCCCATGTAGTCAATGTTTTAGGTTTGCAGGCCGTACCATCTCTCACTCTCTCTTTTTAAGATTTTATTTATTTATTTGACAGACAGAGATCACAAGTAGTTAGAGAGTCAGGCAGAGAGAGGGGGCAGGAAGCAGGCTCCCCACTGAGCAGTGAGCCCGATGCGGGCCTTGATCCCAGGACCCTGGGATCATGACCTGAGCAGAAGGCAGAGGCTTTAACCCACTAAGTCACCCAGGTGCCCCGGCCATACCATCTCTGTTGCAACTTCTCTACTTTGCTATTACAGTCATGTGCTATCCACGAATGATTGGGTGTGGTTATGTTCCAATAAAATTTGGCTTGTTAAAACAGACGGCAGCCAGATTTGGGTGGTAAACCATAATTCACTGACCCCTAACTTAGCAGAGTGCATTTGAGATCCAGTAATGTTGTCAGGTCTATCAGTGGTTTGTTCTTTTCATTGCCAACTATCGTTCCATTGCATAAATACACCACAGTTTGTTTAGTCATTTACCAGTGATAAATAAAGCCACTGTAAACATTTTTTGTGTGTGAGCACAGCTTTTGATTTCTCTTGAGTAATTATCTAGGAGAGGATTGCTGGGCTGGATGATAAGTGTGGTTTACTTTTACAAGAAACTCAACTTTTCCAAAATGTCTGTATCATTTTGCATTTCTACCAGCAATATAAGAGAGTTCCAATTGTGTTGTATCTTCACCTGCACTTCATGTTGTCCAATTTTTTTTTTTCTGGTTAAGTTCAGCCTACTCTAAAAGACTGTGAAGAATCTTAGAAACTAGAATAAAGATGCTTACCTATAACCTAACTTAAATTGGAAGCTCTTGAAGGCTTTTACACATGGAAATGGCATGATTTGGGTTTTAAAATGATGACCCCCAACTGCAGTATGGAGACTGACTTGGAGGTGGGCATGGTGAAAATGTAGAGACCTGTGGGAAGATATCAGATTAGTAGAAGGAAAAGGGAACAGACCGTGACTTGAAAAGGGACAGCGAAGATGAAGTGGCTGGGCCTGAGATTTTTTTAGGACGTGGAACGGATAGTACTCAGTGGTTGATCCGATATGGAACTTAAGAGAGCAGCCCAAACTTCTAGATCCAAAATGGTTCCTTCCCTGATGAACACTGACAGGGAAAAATTTTCAATTTTGAGATACATGTGGGACATCCAAATGGAAGTGCCAAATGGGTAGTTTGATGTCTGGATTCTGGAATAGGGGAACAAAATTGGAAGTCAGTGTGGTATAAGGTTATATGACCATGTGGAGGTGGAAGAAATTCTCTAGAAAGGCCCAAGAGGACCTAAGTGCTTAATGTTGAGGAGTAGAGAGGGACCTCTGGAGGAAACTAGGAGAGAGTGCTTAAGAGAGGCTGGAGAGAGAGAGAGCTCAGCTCAGTTGTCTCTCAGATGCCAAGGTGAGTGAACAGAAAGTTGTGTGCTGAGGTGACAGCTAACATGAGGGATAAAATGTGCTGACTGGATTTCGCAGCAAAGTGGACATGAGTCAGTTTTGGTGGTGGTGGTGGTGAGGGTGGTGGTGTGTATGTGAAAATGCAGATTAAAATGAATTGAGGAGTTGGTTGAGTGAGTAGGAGGTGAGGCAATAGAAAAAGCAAGGGTATACAGGACTTTCCAGAATTCTTAGGATGGTAAAACATATGTAAAAGGCATTTTTTATTCTTAAGGTGAGATGGGATAGAGTGTCGTGTGGGTGCGGAAGGATGAGAGAAGGGACAAAGACAGAGAAACAGTGCAGTCCATGGAATGAGAAGCCCATAAGGCATGAGGGGTGCCCATCAGACCCAGCAAACTTGCTGAGGAAGAAATTCAGTTGAGTTTAATATTCATAGTTACGACCTGTTAGCAGAGTAGAACAGGGGCCTTTTAGTGTTACCAAGTTCTAATGACTTATATAAACATGATATAGTCCTTAAATTTATTTCTTGAGTATTTCTATAAAACTTACCAAGCAGAAAATGTCAGATTTTTTTTTTTTTTTTTTTTTTTTTGGATGTGTGAAAATGCTCTGGCAGTTTAGTCACTTGTCAGTCTTATGTCCAAGTACTACCCATCTGTCATGGCCCAGTTGAATCCTCAAATGAAAGACCCTCCCTCCTTGACCAGAACGGTCATAGCCTGGTACTTCTTTGCTTTACTCTGGCATTTTGTTCTTTCTACATACTTTTATATATATATATATATATACTTCTTCTTTTCCTCCTCCTCCTCTTTCTTTGATGATAGAAGGCAAAGCCCGTGACAAAAAAATGTCATGTTCCCCCCAACCTAGCAGTTAGATAGTTAGGTTTATTTAGTTCCCATAAATGTATGTAAGTATGTATGTAAATGTGAACATGGGGAAATGGGAAATGGTTATTAGTAGATAATGGGAGGAGTTGTGTAAAGGAGAATAAGATTTTTGTGGCATGTGTCTGGATCATAAGCCTGAAAAATTATGGCACCTGATTATAATCTTTTGTTTTTATGAGACTTGGTAAAGTAGGATTTAAAAGTTCCCTTTTACCTGCCATTAAATGATCAAATTATTTAATAAGTAATAGCAACAACTCTGTGGTGGTGCTTTACAGTTTACCACCTACACTCATCTCATTCGTCCATCAGATTGAGCACAACTCAGAGATGTAGAGCTAGAGACATCACAGGGGTTTATCCCATTCTACAAAGGAAGAAACCAACGCCCAGGGAGATAATATGTCAAAAGTCACATATTGGTAAAGAAGAGCGCTGAGACCAAAGCCAGGAACCTCTGATCTGGGTTTTGTTTTTTTTTTTTAAGTGTCCTTTCTGGCTTCTAGATTTATTTTTATAGAAATCCAATAGGCCTGACAATAATTAAATTCAATTTTAAGCAACAACTTGGTTTATTTTATTTAAATGGATAAAAAAAATCACTTACCAGAACAATATCTTGTTTGGAGTTAAGATCACCTTTTCCTGAACAGTCTTTGGCCTTGTGGTTAAAGAGCTTCCTCTGTGGCTCCTACAGCAGAATGGGAAAAACACTGCCGGCATCACACTGATGCTGGGATTTACAGGAAGGAAAACAGAACTTACATACCTGTGGATAACTAACTGTTAGAGCAGCTCTAGCCAGCACTGTTCACTATAGTGATTAAATCTAGTATTAGCATTTTACTCATCTGTTTGTCTGGGCTTTTGATTCTGCTTTCTGGCAACTACTTTTTTTTTTTTTTTTCAAGACCATTTTTTATTAAGGACAATAACTTACATTCTAATGAAAGAAAAACTAGAAACAGGGAAGGCCATTATCCTTTAGGGGGGCTTAGCTGGCTTTATTTTATTGTTAAAGCCTTCAAATATTGAAATAGTGTATACTAAATATATAAAATCTAGAATTTTATATTAAAATATTTAATGGGGAAGGCTCTGACTAAAATCCTTAAAAAAAAATTATTTGCATTGGCCATAGTTGATCATTTAAATACAACAGTAACTTTCATTAAACAGATTCTTTTTTGATTATACCGACCTAAGCTCATAGACCTCCAAGCTCTAAAATCTATTTTTGCCAGAAGTATTAAAGAACGAAAGACATACACTTTTAAGAAATTGCAGAAAGGCATAAAGTGCTTTTTTCCTCCTCCTTTCAACACTTTTAAATGTTATCTGAATGAATTACTGCTATGGGGTAAAACATTTCCTTCTGTTCTCCTATAAATTGTCTTTGACTAGGTATTTGGGAATTGCTGTACAGTGTGGGAAATAGTTGAACTTGGCTGTTTATGAAACCAAAACAAGCATTTGAGATACTGAATCTGAAACCAGGTGTTCCCTGCCTAAATGGTTATGGCTTATTAAAACACAACAAAAGAGAAATACCCCCCCCCCCCGCCCCCGGGATTGTAAGGGCTTTTCTTTTCTACAGGGCAGTTAGTCCGGTGGGTCTATGTGGACTGTGGACTACGGTCTAGCTTTGGTTTTGCTTGTCTCCATTACACATCTCTTCTTCCGGCATACTGTCAGGTGTATTGCATTGGCATTCCCATGAAAAACTAAAAGCTGACTTTGGACTCTTAACACCAGGTGAGCTTGGCCTATGTCGAAGCAGCCGAGTACGTCACAGAACCTGTTAACAGGGAGCCTCCTTCCAGAGAAGCTCAGCTACTGACCTTGCAAAACATGTCTGAATTCGACATCCTTGTCATTGGAGGAGGAGCAACAGGGTGCGGCTGCGCACTGGATGCCGTCACCAGAGGTGAGTCCCCACGTGGGTGGATGTTTTCCAGACCGAGGTTTCCTGTCCCCCACCCTCGCCCCCAGTCAAACACTTGGTGTGCGCTGTAGACTAGTAAAGTCACGTTCCTGGCACGTTGCCGGATTTTCCAGCCTTTGTGAAACACCTTCATAGTTTCTTAATCTAGGCACTCGCACAATTTTAAAATTAAACATAGCTGGTATTTTATGCGTAAAATTTCTTTAAAAAGAAATTTCTTTAAAAAGAAAATTTAACTTCCTATGAATTCATGAACTTGCTCTTTTTGCTTATTTCTTTCTAATATCCTAAAGTAAATGTCTTTTAATGAAATAAAAAATATGTATCCTATGGTCTGAAATCACATTTGTGTCAGGGAAGGGTAGAAAAGACTTATTAAAATGAGTTAATCTATTAAAATAACTCCTTTTTCCTGTATCTCTTAAAAGCATTTCTTCCAGTGAGATATAGACTTCAGTTTAGGAAACTTGAGTTTATTGTGAATTCATGACGGAAAAGAAAGTTGCTAACCTGTAGTTCTATCTCAGCCACCCAATTCGTCAGCATTGGGAAAAGCATGTTGAGAAGCTCTTTAAAAACGGAAACATGGGGGCACCTGGGTGGCTCAGTGGATTAAAGCCTCTGCCTTTGGCTCAGGTCATGATCTCAAGATCCTGGGATCGAGCCCCACATGGGGCTCCCTGCTCAATGGGAAGTCTGCTTCTCCCTCTCTCTCTGCTCCTCCTTCCCCCTGCTTGTGCTTGCTCTCTCTCTCTCTCTCTCTCTCAAATAAATAAATAAAATCTTTAAAAAAAAAAAAAACGGAAACATGACATGTAAAGAAAGAAATTCTAGTATGGAGCACCAGTGCTCTTCCATGTGATATAGTTAATAAAATAATTTGATTTTTGCCTGTGGTTATTATTAGTGTGGAGTTTGGGGTGAAGGAAATCTGGGTACATATCCTATCTCAGCAGCTTTATTAGATGTGTTTATAGTTATGGACACATACACATGCACTCACTTGGGCAAATTCCTTAATTTCTGTAAGGTTCCTCATCTTTCCAATAAGTTAAAAATACCTTCTTTGAATGATTTTTGTGAGGATTAAATGTGAAATCATGAAGACGGCTTTTGTGTGCTTGTCACACAAAATAGAAGTTCAGTAAGTTGCAGATAGTATTTATAGCCATTATTATTATTATTATTATTAAGTAGGTTCCACATCCAATGTGAAAGCTGGAACTCATGCTCCTGAGATTTAAGAGTCGCATGCTTTACCACCAAGCCTACCAGGTACCCCTATAACTGCCATTATTAACATGAAGGCAAAATACTTTTATTTTTTTAATTATTATTTTTTAAGACTTTATTTATTTATTTTAGAGAGAGAGTGCTGGTGTGTGTGAGAGCCGGGTAGGGGGAGGTGGATGGGGAGGGGGAGAAACACAGCCTGTGGAGCCCACATGGGGCTCCATCCCATGACTGTGAGATCATGATCGCTAGATCAGGACCTGAGATCACAACCTGAATCGAAAACAAGAGTGGGATGCTTAACCAGCTGAGCCACCCAGGTACCCCTAAGGCAAAGACTTTGAGAACCAGTTGTCCTAGAGAAATAATCTTTGTGGTATCCTTGGATGTATCCAGTTGGTCTGGGCACTGCTGCGTGGAACTTTGACTCTGGGTTGTTTTAGTTACTGTATAATGTTCCAGATTTCTTGTGGTGTCATACTCAGTGGTAATGATTTATTCCATGGAGCAGTTCTTCTCAGATTAAGTTACTGCCACATCCTCCCTAGACTTATACTTGGTTGCCTCACATACCTGGTAGAATTTACTTTTCAGATATGAATACATTTGGCAAGATTTAGGCACAGGCACTACGAGCGGAAAGTGCCCTAGATTTACTGTATAGCATAGGATCCACACTGAAGTTTTGACCCACCAAGACTTCACAGCTTAGGTCCTTTTTGTCACTTTTAAATCATAGTAAATTCAAATATAGCCCTTGGAATTTATTGTGTTGTCAGGCACTCCCCGATTTTCATAGAACTCCCTGTTTCTGTCCCTGGTTCGTAATTTGTGCCACATTATCCTCGGACATACTAAAGCAGCTGGAAATAATGGTTGTAGTTACCTCGAGGTATTAGAACTCACCTCTCTCCCCTGGAGGCTTGGGAAGGAGTGTGGAAAGGGAGGTCATGTTGCTAACATAACGGGCGGTCTTGTTAGAGGCTAGTCCTCCCAGGAGTTAGAATTGACCAGGTGACAGTTTTCTGTCCTAGCAGATCATTTCCCCAGTAAGATTCAGAAAAATCTATTGTTTGGTGTTTCCTGTTATGTTCATGTTATGTACTGAAATATATGGCAGTTTTTAAAAAATTTTAGTTCCAAAAAAAAAAAATTTAGTTCCACGAATATTCACAGTCTGCCTGTTGGATGCATGGCATTCGCAAGATGCTAATGAGCGCTCAGACTGGATGGGCGGTCGACGCCTTGAAGGTGCTCACAGTTCTGCTCGTCTGTGTAGACAGAATGACATCACGGAGGATATGTGCCTTTCAAAAGGCGTGTGGGCATTATGGTTCTATAAAGCGGAGGGTCGTTATATCTGCAAAGGGTGGTCAGGAGAAAGAAAGCTGCTATTTAGCACAGGTAGAATTTTAATAGGCAAACGTTGCTTCGTGGAAGCGTCGCAATCTGAGCGCACGTGCGGGGGGGGGGGGAAGATCGTGGAGTCAGCGCGTGTGGCAGAAGGCACATTTCCCTTTGGAGCATCGAGCGGTTGGAGTAAGGTATGAGAAAAGTTGGGGAGGTGGGACTGGGCCTGGTACAGAAGAAGGCCTTTGGACTATACTGAATAGGCCACTTTGAGACACTGAAGAGCATTGGATTTGGTGACGAATAGATTGGCCGTAAGGAAGGAGCTGGCATGGGCATAAGCTTTTAAGACATCTAGAAACAGACAAAATAGCAAGGAGGTAACTTGATGGTGTAGTAGGATATAAAGGAGGGAGGCAACATGTGCGATTGTTCTCTTCCTTCCTGCATCCATCCATCCATCATTCCTTCCTTCCTTCCTTTTGTTCTTTTTCTTTCTTCTTTTTTTCTTTCTCTCCTTCCTTCCTTCCTTTCTTCTTTCTTTCTTTTTCCCTCCCTCCCTCCTTTTCTTTCTTTCTTTCTTTCTTCCTTTCTTTCTTTCTTCCTTTCTTTCTTTCTTCCTTTCTCTCCTTCCCCTCTCTCTTCCTCCTCCTCTCCATTCCTTCAATCCTTCCTTCCTTTCTTCCTAGAGGAACAATCTGAATATTTCTGTGGACTCAGAGGAAAAAGCCTATACAGGAGGAGAACCTTTATATGCCAAGAATAGGAGGCAACGTGTGGAACAATGATAACAAAAATGTATCTTAGGTTTGGTAGGGAGATAAGGGACATCTCTCAGAGACAAAAATAAAGGGTAAAGATTCTAAGATATAAAAAAGGGAGCCTCTGTGACCAAGAAGAACTGTTTTTATTCACACAAGCACAAAGAGAGATGTTCTACTTACCGTGGGAGTAGGAGACTTCGTGTAGAAAAGATTTAAAACTACCATGTGGAGAATGTGATAGGGAATAGGGGTCATTTGCTGTGGTTAGAAAATGTAAATTTGTTTTCTATGCAGGATATC